TTCAGAGAGAGATTGTTGTCACTGCACCACCCGGCCAGGCGGCTCACCTCGCTCCTATAGTTTGTCTCATCTCTGGTGCTAATGAGACCCACTACAGTCGTGTCATCCGCAAACTTAATGAAGAGGTTGGAGTTGTTGACTTGACTTGACTTGACTTGATTTCTACTGTGCATTGTGCCTCTTGCTATGGAACATGCAGTGATTTTCCCTACTCACATTCCATCAGGTCGTAAATGGCTCTGGTCTTAGCAAAGGTGTCGGGGTTGCCATGGTAACCAGTGGCCTGTGGTCATTCGCAGACATCCTGGCGCCCAGTCTATTGGGTGAGGGGTCTGTGACGACTTGTTAATCTAATGAATAACTGATTTGTTAAATCAAATGAAAAATTGTGTTTTTGATTGGTCCAGACGCTACAGCACACAACTGAAATGGCACTCTGAGTGGTTTTCAGCACGCTGCTATGAACTTGCTACGGTGTTCAGAGTGGATTCAAGAGAAGACAAAGACCAAGAAGTGCCAAATTTCTCATAAGCAATATTTCAAATAAAAAATAGGTAATAAATATTATCTACTGCTTGACTAACTAAGCTGTAATCCACAGAGAAAGACTTAAGAATATTTTACTAAATTTTCTATCCCACAAGAAGTTAAGGAGGCGGCTTAACTTCAGTTAAGTCGGTATTAAGTGAAAATTTTCGAATTCATTGAATTATCAAATTCATCCATGCATGCGTTTCATTTTTAAAAATGAGTTTGATCTTTTATCATCAAAATTTCATATCTTGACCTTCCAGTGGCTTGGCAGACTTCTCTCTTGTGTCGTAACAGAGAAAGACTTAAGAATATTTTACTAAATTTTCTATCCCACAAGAAGTTAAGGAGGCGGCTTAACTTCAGTTAAGTTGGTATTAAGTGAAAATTTTCGAATTCATTGAATTATCAAATTCATCCATGCATGCGTTTCATTTTTAAAAATGAGTTTGATCTTTTATCATCAAAATTTCATATCTTGACCTTCCAGTGGCTTGGCAGACTTCTCTCTGGTGTCGTATGCTGGATTTCTCCAATCATTTAGTCTGCATAAACCCCACCCCTTTTACAGTCGACTGCAAGCTCACATTCAGATCGGATTCCATTCCCATAAACAACTGAATGACAGCACCAAGTCTGCAAACTATATTTTTACCGATAATCCATTTCACTCAGATGCATGTCACATAACGGCAGAAAAGATCTACCTCTACTTCTGTTAAAAGTTCCTTAAAGGGATCAATTCATCCAAAAATAAAAATCCTGTCATCATCCTCATGTTAATACAAAGTCAGAGTGTTTCATTGTTGATTTGGACCCCATTGACTTTCATTGTATGAAAAAAAATTTAAACATTCTTTAAAATATCTTCTTTTATGTTTCACAAAAGAAACTAGAAACTAAGAATACACGTTTGGAATGACATGACAGTAACAGTTTTGGGGGAAATATCCCTTTAAGCATGAGCAACAGTAAAAGTGATACTCGCCTTGTGAACACCACTAATTATATTGTATTACCACTAATGTAGTCTCTTTATCTTTCTCCAAGTACTGGCAGTATATTAATAAACGGACATATTAGCGCTCTGAAAGACTCAAAGTGAATGGCTGAGTGGATGAATGAAACTCATGGAGCCTTCCTAGGCAGACAAGAGGGGAAAAAATGTCTCTGAATGCCTCACGTTCTATTTTCATTTTTTTTCTGTCCTACCATTGGACAGGAGAGAGCAGGACAAGACAGAGGAGGAGATTTTTTTTCCATGGCAGCTGGATGGAGAACATGACAGAATCTCCAGAGTTGAAAATGAGGAGAGGAGAGGAGAGGAGAGAGAGAGAGAGAGAGAGAGATTGGATTCCCGGCTCTGGTTCCAGTGGTGGAGCTACAAAACATGCTCCAAGGTATCTCTGTACTGCTCTCATGCTTTCAGGAGGAACACCGAGACAAGATCTGTGCGGGCCAACCTCAGTCACCATGGAGATAGTTACCGGGGGCGAAGACAGCCTGGCTACTGAGAAGGTAGTGGCCATTTCATGGCTGTCAAAACGGCTGCACTTAAGCAGAACCACTCCACGGCTAAGCGCTCCATGGAACATATCTCCTCTTGCACCTGATTCCTAAACTACACCCCGTGAACACCAACCGAACACAACACATTTTGCCCGCACATGCACAGCACAGCACAGGCTGGCTTTGCATTACGGCATTGATTAGCATTTCCCTTCCGCTCTTCCTTTGACAAAACACCAACTGAACACAACAAATTTTGTCTGCACACACACTGCACAGGCTGGCTTTGCATTACGGGTTTGATTAGCATTTCCCTTCTGCTCTTCCTTTGACAGGAGTATAAGAGGCCGGGAGCTGAAACAGCAGTGACTGACTTATCCTCGCCAAGAGCCTCTTTTGTGAGGAGATGGTTGGAGAAGGAGGGTGGGTAGCAGGTTTGGAAGCCACAGAAGTGGTTCAGGCGAACAAAGCAAGAGAGTTTGGAGCGAAGAGGATAGAAGTAATGGGAGCGGAAGAAGGGAGGAGAGTGAGAGGATGCACGTGTAATGGGAGAGCCGTAGGTTCCCAAGGGGGTTGAAATGCCACCAGCGTTCATCCGCTCCACCCTCCTCTCTTGGTTCCGTCTCTTCCTGCTTGTCCTTTTCTCTTGAATGGGAGGAACCAAACGAGGAGGTAAGGCAAGATGTTGTCAGTTTAGTGTTTGGTAGGGGAATGTACTTTTTCCAAATGAGCAAAGATCTGCCTTCAAGCCACACTGATCTGCAAGGACACGTATATGCAAGTGAGAGAGAGAGAGCGAGAGAAAGAGAGAGAGAGAGAGAGAGAGGATGGAGAGGGAAATGGAGGAAGGTAAAAAGCTTTTAAAACCAAAGTTGTGAGAGAAAAGCACCTTTCCTCCACATTACCTAAGAGCTATTAGTCTTGCTCAGCACTAAAGCAGCTCAGTCCCTCCGCAGTCAACCATGTGGATATTTTATTCCATCAGCCTGTCACAGGACATCAGAACGGGCCAGAAAAAGCTAGGAGAGGACAATTTTGCATCCAATGACGCCCATCAAATGCACTGTAGTGCTTGCTTTAGCCATGAAACACTGGGACGGCCACGAGGAGTCACAAATCCAACCCACACCCACCTGATCACCAGTGATAATATAGTCCAAAAATTGATAAAGGAAATACCAATCAAATTACTTCCTCAAGTATACAATCAAAAAAAGAATGCCTAAAATTTATTGATTTTGTCAATAAAGACCAGATGGATCAAATTGATGAAAATATGATGGAAAAAATATTAACAATGCACTCGGTTTTTTTTGTTTTTTTTAAATAGAAATGTAGAAAGATTATAATTGATTTATATAATCCAACCATGTTATGCCGGGTTAAGATTTCCCCACTAGAAATTAAAGACCTGACAGAGATAGGGGTCCAGTAACTCACTCAAATGCAGCCTATATTCACGACCATTAAAAAAAAATTTTGAAGAAGAAGAAATTAATATTTACTATACTTTAATACCTAATACTTATTCTGCAACCATGCATTAAATTAATCAATAGTGTTACAATAGATTTCTATTTCAAATTAATTCTGTTCTTTTAAACACATGACTTCTTTAAATGTATGACCCAATGTGTGAGAAAATTTACAGACACTGCTAACCACCACCCAAATACAGCTGCACTCAACCTCACCCAAACACAGTCACATCTGCAATCACACACATGCTCCTCTCTTTAGAAAGCATCCTTCAGAATTCTATGGGAACTGCGTGGCATTTTCAGACATGTTTTTCCAGATCAAGAAAGTCCCAGACTAAAGTAAAATACACCATCAGAGAGTCAGGAACAGTTGAAGGCTGAGGGATGACAGTGCACGCGGGGTGTTCTTGAGGACAAATAGAGTGATGAACAAAACACATACAGACAAGAAAAGTGCCAACGAACTGCCTTATGTCTGAACTGTAACCCCTTGCTTGTCTGAAATGAGGTCTCATTTTTCCAACTAATGCCCATGTCGCCACCTCACACTCACCCCAGTGGAAATGTGTGAGGAACCTGTAATCAAATACTACACAGACAGACTCACCCCTCACGAAGACGGTGATCTGATCTCTGCCGTATCCCAAACTGTTTTTGACCTCACAGATGAAGGTGTTGTTGATGGTGTCATCCACCTTCTGCACAGCGAGTCGATTTTCCTGCACCTGCACCGTTTCAGGCATCAGTCCAGACAAGCTGAGGGACAAAATCCAGACAATATTAGCACAACGTTTCTGATAGAAACAAAGCTTAAAAGACCTATTGACTATCAGCATTAAATCTGGGCCACTTTGCAGCTTATTCTGGCCAAGAACTGCCCACTTAGGCAGACGTGGTCATCTGACTGACCTTTTGTTATGTTTTTACATGCCGTTTAAAGGCGGGTTTATCTGTAATTGTTGATACCACAATAACACCCTGATGTTGAAAAAAAACGGCACAAACGTGTCAGTCCTTACTCCCAGAACTTGTGTCAAAGCCAGCCAATCAAAATAGAGGGTGCCAGATTGAGAACGTGCTTTCCATTTTTGTGTGCAATATGCATCAGAGGGTTCATGAAAGGAACAGGTGGTTTGTGGGCATTATCTTAAGCCGGGTGCACACTGTACGATTTTTATAGTGTTTTACATTTGTTGTTTGTCAGACTGTACAATATGATCTCAAGTGAGATTTCGGAGTAAATGCCATGTCACACTGGGCGACATCAATGATACACAGCATTGCCAAGACTTTGGTCCCAGTCATCCAGTTAAATTTCATAAGAGCCATCAAACTGCACAACAGTTTTGTTAAATTTTTGACACTGCCAAAACTTTGTTGGAAACCAAAATTCTTCGCATAGGCCAGGGGTGTCCAATCCTGCTCCTAGTGGGCCAATGTTTTGCAGAGTTTAACTTCAGTCTGCCCCAACACTGGAAGCTTCTAGTAATCCTGAAGACTTAGATTAGCTGGTTCAGGTGTGTTTTATTAGGATTGGAGCTAAACTTGGCTGGAAGGCAGCTCTTTGGTAGCAAGATTGGACAATGGTGAACACACCTGAACCAGTTAAAGGGGTCATATGATGCGATTTCAATTTTTCCTTTCTCTTTGGAGTGTTACAAGCTAGAAGAATCTTTAGAATCATAAAGAACATCTGTAAAGTTGCAAAGACTAAAGTCTCAAATCCAAAGAGATATTCTTTATAAAAGTTAAGAGTCAGCCACACCTACCTAAAACGGCTCGTTCTAACACGCCCCCACATGTCTACGTCACTATGTGGGAAGATTTGCATAACGCCACCCAAATGTTCACGCAAAGAAAGAAGGCGTAACTTTTATTCTCACTGTAGTATTGTTGCCGTCGCGGCCATGTCGTGAAGGCGCTGTGTGCTTCCTTGTGGAAGCGAAACTACTTTGTTTGGCCTTCCAAAAGAGGACGATATTGCTTCGTCATGCCTAAATAATGTTCTTTTTAGCAGCATCATATGACCCCTTTAATAAAGGTCTTCAGGAACACTAGAAACTTGCCGGCAGTTGTTCTGGAGCTAAACTATGCATGAAAGGGGGCCTCAAGGAGCAGGATTGGATAACCCTGCATTAAACAATCAAAGACTGGACATTTTGCCCTATTAAGTCTTTTACAATCTTTGAAAGACAGTAAAATGCGGCCTAAAAATCTACAATGTAAACCCCGCTTAAGGGCGAGACTATTCAGAACTGAAAGGGAAAAGAAATGCTCACGTTTTCCAGGTGATAGTGGTGGGGACGGGGTTTCCATCTGCCTGACAGGTCAAATACGCACTTGTCCGACCCCTGTACCAGTTGTTATCATACCCTACGATCTGCACCCGGGGAGGATCTGACAGAGAGAAAAAGACAGACAGAAAAAGAAAAAGAGTAAATCGAAGGATCGAACAACTAGCCTTTATGAATGAGTTTAGCCTTGAGTCACTGAAGTCTTGGACAAATCGAACACTGATATGGTCTATCAGCCGACTCCATGATGACCTCATTGACCCTTAGCTTGTGTTTCTGGTCCAAGCAGCACTGTAAAGCCTCAGGGTAATTTGCTTGATGGCTGTTACTAATGTCTGGCATATTGCATAGACACATTACTGGCCTGGACCAATAGAGACATGACTCACTAAAGCAATTCTCAGCTATAGCAACAGGGAATGCTTAGCGTAACAGCCTTTGGATCAGTAGTTTCTGGTGTATTTAATGGTCTGGTTGAAATCTTACATTCAACAACAAGTCTCATCGGGAAGGTCTCGGGTTGGGTCATGGTACGGTGTGTCACCATGCAGCTGATGTCTTTGCCATTATCCGACGGCTGCGGAACCAGCATGTAGGAACTCTGGACGGTGACTGTATTATCTGGATTTTCCGTCTCGATCGGCGGCGTCACGTTTCCGTTAAGCGGTGTGGACCAAGAAATAGTCGCTGCCGGACGGCCATTGGATGATTCACAGCGTGCCACGATGACTGGGGTTTTGCCGGCGGTAACTGTGACAGTTGTAGCCAAGTTCTTTGGTTTAGCTGTGGGAAAGAGAGAGAGTATGACCTTTATTTGATGCTATAATGTGAAGGAGGGTAAGGGAAGATGAGAGGAGGAGGGGAGGAAGTGGAGACGGGAAGATCACAGCTCTGCTTGTCTTGCCACACGCTAGCACAGCGCTCACATTGTACTCACGTTTCGCTCTGAGAAAGACATCAAAGAGAGGGAAAGGAGAAAAGCAGGGGAGACGGGGAACGACAGGGAAGTGACGACCTCTCAGCATGATAAGCAGGCAGATCAATAGCAGGGAGAGAGAGGAGGGGAGGGGGCAAGTGAGCGAGAGACCGGCCAAGGTTACTGCCACATTTCACACACATTAACAGCAGCACAATTGATCAGACAATACCATTTATAAATCCCCTTTAAGCACACAAACGGACACAGACGTGAGAGCGAGTATGCGTACATACACATACTCCATAAAACAGACTAAGACTGCAACTGACAAATATTTTGATAATCGATCCAAGCTGTCACTTGTCGTTACAGTCCTCTCCCCCACCCAAAAAAAGTTTTTACAATTTTGATTATTTAACATTTCCCCCAGTATTTGATTTAAAATAATGCTGTCTATCAATTAGTACTGCAAATAATCAGATACAAAAATTCCTAATGCTCCTCCTGATTGTTGAATTAGTTTTTTCTTCATTTTTTAGATTAGTTAGATTTAAAAAATAAATTTTCCCTTGTATTTTATTGGGGGGAAAATGTATACATTTCAATTAATCATAATTGGATATAAAAAATACAATTTCCCCTTGTTTTTACTGAAAAACTGATCGGTCAATTTAAAAAAAAAAAAAATCTAAACTAATCAGATTTAAAAAAAAAGAAAAAAAAAAGCTAAATTTCCCCCTATTTTATTGAAGAAAAAATATCTTCAACAAACAATGTGCAAACTAAATAATATTAACAATATATTTATAATTTGATGAATGCACACCAAGCATTTTGCTAATGCTATACACGTAAATACATATACATTTTATTAACTCAATGAAATTTGTTGATCATTTTCTTTATAATTTTTTTAACGATTTTATTGATTAGTCATTGCAGTTGTTGATGTTTCTTTTCCTCCAACCCACACAAACACATACTCATACTCACCCAGCATGACCAGCGAAGTGACTCCCTGTTCGTTGCCAGAAGGGTAGGTGGCATATTCACAGATATATCGGCCCTCATCGGTCATCTTCACTTCTCTGATCTGAATGGATGGGTTGTCCAAAGAGGGCGGATCTGTTACAAAACTGACACGTCCTGATACAGGGGATTTCGGTGGGTAATTTGCTCCAAATTTTGGATGGAAAACTGCAATGTTGGTTCGCTCTGCATCATTCCGTTCAAAGATCCATGACACCTGCATGCCAACGGAAACAAATCCAAAATCAATTCAGATGACGACAAACTTATGCTTACAGCACATCAAATGCTTTCAGAAAGTTCTTATTTCAACCCCAGTGAACAAGTTCTTTCTACAAACTCTTGTTCGTTGGGTTTCACAGCTCTGCTTTAGACTGGCAGGAAATTTTGAAGGTTGATTTCAGACCTGAGTGAGTTGGGTTTCGCCTGGGTTCGGAAACTGGCATCGCAGTGTCACCGTCTGACCAGGATATGACACGACTTCTGGCTCCACCCTCACGCGCTGAGCCAACGACCCTGGAAAGAAAACGAGAAAAGGCCCTGAGAATAGGAAACGACCTTCACTTCTGTCCGGCTAAAATCAGGTGACCCGCTACCACCTCACTGAACGCGCCAGAGAGAAATTCAGCACGTTCCAGCACAGTCTAGGAGTTCAGGGATAGTGAAATAAGAAATGATAAATGAGGTTACAACAAAACAGCAAGTAGGCCAATGTTTCTGATCTCAGCTGGGGTGTGAGTGGGTGCGAATATAGATGCGAGTGTGTGCGTGCAAGCGTGTGTGAAAGTATCTATGAAAAAAAAACATTCAGCTCACTCTCTGCAAGAAGCATTCATCATCCACCACAACCCTGACAGAACACATTCAACGAGTACATGAGTGTGTATGTGTGTGCGCACATCAGTGGGGGTATAAAGTGGTAAAGAATTGAAAATTGCACACAAAACACAGTTAAGTGTCATGGGAGCATGGGTGCTCATGCGGACTTGCAAGTTTGACTCAGACTCACAACATTTTCTGATTCCATTCTTCCCCATCATTTCCTGTCCTGTCTCTACTGTGGCCTTCTAAAAGTGGCAAATCTAATGCATAAAGGTACAGTCACATTTACTGTTTTTTACTGAATTTTTGCTGTCGAAATACACTCATTTCAATAAGAATCTGTGCAATCAGGAATTTGCGTGAGATTTGCGCAGATTTCACATCGAGTTGAATGTGAATTCACCGTGCTGACCAACAGAAAGCTGATTGGTTTGAAAGTGACTTTAATGTGAGCTGTGGTTTATACATTGATACACTATTGACAATAAACAATGGACCTTTTTTAGCCTGCAATATTTCGCTAATGCGACCAAAAGTGAGACGGGCATGAAAAAACCCTGTCAAAAGCTGCCACTTTTAAATCGTACTAATATGTACACTTTAGATACTAATATGTACTGCCCCAATGGCACTTTTTTCCTGAGAGCGTACAGTATGTAGGTATAAAACTAGTAAGACAGGTTGGTCTGCTAACCAGCTGAAAAGACCGAAACTCACAAATGAGAAAACACAGCCTCATCAAAACTGTGAAGTTCAAAGGGAAAGACAAATTAAGCAAGAGGAAGCTTGAAAAAGTAAACATGTTTTATGGGAACTCTCATTTGCTTCCTTAGTTTTATCAGGAACATACAGTGGCATTCAAAAGTCCATATTGTAAATATGGGATTCAAAATTTCTAGGCCACAAATCAATTTGTGACATTGATAATGTGACTCTTTGTCTTCCGTTGAAACTTAACATGCTCTCTGGACAAATCATGCTGGAGAACATGATCATCTGGATTTTATACAAACTTGTGGAGCTTCAGTGATGCTGTCATTAAAATACAGTAGGTGTGGAAGTGCAAACTAAACCCTCTCAAATTCATGTTCATTTTCATTTCAACTTTTCTCCTAAATTGTGATGCTGATAATATAATTTGTAGAAGTAATACATTTGTATTAATAAAACAATACATTTAATTAGAAAAATGGAAACATTTTTTCCACAAGTGGTCTTTTGGACCCCACTGTGTCTCTTTCTGTCTCTTGCAGGTGCTCAATCTGAGACGAGGGTGCGCCTGTGTGTGTGTGTGCGTGTGTGCCCACCGAGGCTATTACTTCTGAGCCTGCGTTTGGCACCGCTGAGCCCTGTTATTGAAAATCGCCCTCTCTCTGTCTCTCTCTGGATGGAAAGTGAGGATAGGTCATTACACTGATGTGTAGAGGGGGTCAGCAGTCCATCAGAACGCTAAACACATTCACTTCTCACCTCAACGTTCAGCAGCACGGTGTGTAAATGGAAAAGAGGGAAGGGGGTAGAAGATAGAGAGATGTAGTAATAAGCTGAAAGCACAGGAGAGATACAAACCACCTCAGTCAGCGTAGATGGCATATTTCTCGCAAATGAAAAAGGCTGTAAAGGGATACGCGTACAGTCCCTTGTATCATACAGTATAAATACTGCATAGGTGATCTTAAGGTCCACTGTCACATCTAGTTTTTTTCACAGCCTAGAGTTTTTTGTCCACTGAAACATTTTCAATCGTCTGAACTGGGATCAGAGGAAAAGTTCAGAGAAAAATGTAAAAAATAGAAATATAGCTACCCATTAAAAAGGCTGTTTATCTATACGTCAACTTGGTTTCCATTAGTATAAAACTAAAAATGGCATCTGCATGGATTAAGGTCCAAAGCAGCATGTAAAACTGAATGAGAGACAGAGGCTGTGTGTCAAGCGTGTTTCGGTGTGCTTGCCGCCTGCAGGTGACATGCCACACACACACACACACACACTCAGAGGGTGTTTATGTAAATCACACACAGATGAGCACCCAGAATGAGAGTTTAGATGGGAGACAACGTGCTGTGACTACAAATTGAGTGTGTGTGTGTGTGTGTGAGTAGACCTTCATTTTATATCACAAGGACAGATGACGGAGCATACAGGTTCTATCTGCAGCGCTTATTATCACTCATACTCACACATAATCAGAGTAAATGTGTGGTAAGCAGGAAAATGGAGATGTCCAGTGGCTGAATGAAAATCATTCATGACACAGCTGATGTGAGCAGAGAGAGGAATAAAGACTGAGGGGTGGGAACGGACGGCGATGAACAGCTGGAGGGGGTCTGTGGGGAGCGCGGCCGTGCGTGTGTTTGCGCGTACAGTAAACATTTATGTGCATTCGCAGATGTCTCGAAGTATAAAACTGTACCTTCTGTTTTTGGGGACTTTTTAAAACCTTTTATTGTTAGAGACAGTAGAAAGGAGACAGAAAATCTGGGAATGAGAGGAAAGTTGGCACAAAGATGTTTGAATTCAGAATTCAGTTTGAATTCTAACCATGGCTTCCCATACACTACAAAAAAAAAAATTATTGTATTTTTATGTTGTATTTTAGTAAAAAAAAAAAAAAATGAAACAAGATACATTACTATTAAAAAAAATTAAAATACATTCTTTGGAATTTATACTTTTATTCAGCAAGGACGCATTAAATAATAATATTTAGATTTTATTTAAATAGAATTTAGATTAAATTTAATAGATTAAATTAGATTTTAAAATAGAAAATATTTTAATTTGATAGAAATAAAAATTTCTATTTATCAAAGAATCCTGAAAAATGTGTCACAGCTTGTAAAAAAATATTAAGCAGAACTGTTTTTAACATTGTTAATTATATTTTAAAATATATTAAAATAGAAAACCGTTATTTCAAATTATAATATTATTTCACAACATTACTGATTTACTGTATTTTTAATCAAACAAATGCAGCCTTTGTGAGCATAAGTGACCTCTTTCAAAAACATTAAATAAAACCTTTACCAAATCCAAACTTTTGAACAGCAGTGTATATTGCATAACATCTTAACATTTTTCTTTCTTTGGTAAATGCATCTTGTTTTAAGGAAGTTAACACAAAAAAAATGCAGTATGCAAATTGCAGTATGTCAAATGACAGATCTCAGATGTCCTAATACTTAGTATTCATGAAACAGTAGGTAAACAATCCCCAGATGACCTACTGCATCTGCTGAGATTCTGAAGTGTGCAACCAGTGGACACTTTGCTATCCCATGAGGCCGAAGGAGCAGAGAAGCCATCAGATTAAAAGTTTAACAAAAATAGTAAGGAAGTCAATCTGCTTGTTTCAAGTCTAAGCCAATGGGTAGCCTGTTTGGTTAGTTCGTTTGAGTTTCCCTCTTTTCTTCGCTTTCAAATGGCTAGTAAAAGTGCCGTGCGCATTTTACTTTCACTTTCAAAGTGACGCAATTCGACGTCAAGCAATTGTTCGTTTGAGTTTTCCCTCTTTTCCTCAGATTTATTGGCTTTCAAATAGCTAGAAAAAGTGCCGTGGGCATTTTACTTTCACTTCCAAATTAGCGGCAATTTGGCGTTGACTCAATTCAAGCAACAACAACGTCAAACTCAGAACTTTTATTAACAAAACAAATAAAAATACACCATATATGCCTAATAAAATAACAAATTACTTAGCTTACACAAAGTTTAAATAGGTATATAAAACTGAAAATCAGCAAACACTGTGGAACTAAATAAATAAGAAACGAATGTTTAAAAAAAACTTCCAGTCAATAGGCTTTTCAAAATCTAAAATATTGCCAAACGGGCTCCTTTGCATTTCCTTTCTAAATAATTTTCTGCCATCGTCTTGTCTTTTCTCACCTCACTCTTGTCAGTCAGCTCGACTCGTCTCACGTCGTTCACGCACAGTTCGCCATGCTGCATTGAGTGTTTAGTTTTTAAAAGTGTCTGTCCTCTAACTGAACTAGGCTAAATGATTTTTGTTACTAACGGTGAAACGACGGTGGGGGGCGGTGCCACGGTAGGCAAATGACGTAACCGTTGTTGCGGCTTAACACCGGTATAACCGAAAACACCGTCTATCGCGGCAAGCCTCTCTGAGACTAAAATAAACCTTCTATAATCATATAAACTATAAATGAAAGACATCATACGAAAACTGTGTGCATCTGCTCCAAATGTGTCTGGAGCAGATGCCCTTCAGAATGCACTACCACCATTCAAACATTTCAATAGTGTGTTAGAATTTTGACCAGATATGTTTGTATCAAGCATGTGTGGTAATGATACCACACACACACACACACACACACACACACACACACACAGGAAAAAGGCCAGTTGTCTCACAACCCCATTCACTTTTACCACACACACACATACACTCACAATTATGAGCTAATGAGGCCTGAGAGAAAGAATGAGGGCCATGTGCAGCTTGAAATGAAGCACAAATCATCAAGTATTTGCCTCTTTGTACAAATGTGTGCAACACACACAGATTGAGAGGAATGACACATAACCAAGGCAAAGGGACTTCCATCCTACAGGCTAAATTATTAATCTGCCACTTACGATCAAGAGAGAGAGACAAGAACAACAACAAGATGCTTTTTGCAAGGACTGAAAGAGAAGTGTTTCACTCAAATAAATCATGGGCT